GCGAGATACCAGCCGAGCCGGCGTCAATCTTGCCGAGGCCGACAATGACAAACACGCCAGCGAAGAAAGCCACGACGTCGCCGAGGCAGTCGGTCCTGAACGAGAGCCATCTGTTAGCAGCCCAAAGGTAGATGAAGGGCCGCAGCTGCGTGTTGATTCGGACCAGGTTGTCCCGGATGAAGCGCCTCTCGTCGCCGTATGCGCGGATCGTTGTGACACCACTGAGGGTCTCGCCGAACTGCTGGAAGAGCGGGCTCCGCTCGACCGACTCCAGTCGCTTCAGGTCGCGCGACGCGTGGAGGTAGAATTGCCCAAGGAACACGTAAGCGAGAGCGATGAAGATGCCGGCGATCAGAAACATCGGAGTGATGTAAGCGATCAAAACGACAGTGACAACAACGCCCAACGCGCAGGTCATGACACCGATAGCGATGGGCGCAACCTCCTGGTCGACGGCCTCCAAGTCCTTGCTAAACCGGTTCATCATCTGCCCGAGCGGCGTCACATCAAAAAACTTAAACTTCGCGCCAGTCACTGTGCTCATCAGGCGGCTATGGATCTTCCACGAGGCAGTGAGAGAACCAAGGAAGATCCACATGTCTCTGAAGAGAGCCGCAGCCGTGCCCGCTATGCCAATGGCCGCTAGGACGGTCAGGTAATAAGTTACGTCCACTTCGGGGATGTCCGAAGTAGAGACCGTTGTCGAGTTGCCCTTGACATAGTTCGCAATGGATGCAAAGTAGGTCGGCGACAGTGTCTGAACCGAGTAGCTGTGCGAGTTCATGTTGAAGCGAATCTTGGCCGTCTCCTCGGCGGCATATTGGTTGGACCACTCCTTAATCCACAGACTGGTAGCAATGCCGGAAAACTGCTGCGTCCCGAAGACGAGACAAGCAATGACCCAGAACCACCAGCTTCCCATAGACCGCAGGTAGAGCTTCATCACGGGCCACTTGACGGCACCCGTTGCCTTGGTCTCCTCCATGGCGTCTTGCTTCTTGTTTTCCTTCTTCTTGGCAGTCTCGTTCCTTGTCTTTTGTTGATCGCCGTCCGCCTCGTTTACTAGAGTCGCACCGCTTTCCTCCCCAACACTCGAGGAAACGCGGGAGGGTACACGGGAGATATGAGCGGAGCCCGCCGCAGACTTCTGCACGGCAGCGTCTTCTGGCAGCGTGCCAGCCGCAATGAGTTCTTGCGGTGTGCCTTGACCGGTGACGCGACCGTTGGCCATGGTGACAACGTAGTCGGCAGGCGGCACGCACAGAGGGATGTTGTGGGAGACGAGAATACATGTCCGATGGCGCATCAAAGGGCCCATGATGCAGTTGTTGAAGATCCACAGCGCGGTATGAGAGTCAACGGCGCTGAGGCAGTCGTCCAAGAGCAGATGCTTTGAGTTGGAGTAAACAGCTCTCGCGAGCGAGATGCGCTGCTTCTGGCCGCCCGAGAGGGTGATGCCCTTTTCGCCGACCAAAGTCTCGTCTCCGTTGTCCAGGATTTCCAGATCCCGTTCCAACGCACACGCCACGATGACTTCCCGGTATCTCTGCTCATCGAGCGGAGCCGAGAATAGAATATTGTCCTTGATGCTGGCGTTGACAAGCCAGGCCTGCTGGGCGACATAGGCGCACGTCTCAGCAAGCCCCGTTTCCGGATCGGGGCGGACGTCCTCACGGCTGCGGCCACCAGGGAGGAAAACCCGGCCCTTCATGATGGTCATCTCACCAAGGAGCGCCATGAGCATCGAGGTTTTTCCGCAGCCAGTAGGGCCGGTGATGATATTCAGTTTGCCGATCTTGAAGTCGAGGTCGAGGTCGAGGAGCCGGAAAGCCATGGACCCGTCATCGGCGACAGTCGTCTTGCTGCCCCAAACGAAGGTGGCCTTCCTGAACCCAATGACCCGTTTGCCAGTCTCGTCAACATTGTCGACACCCAACTGCGCGAACTTCTCGGTTTCCTCCTCGGAGAGGAACTCCTCAATACGGTCAATCGACACTCGGGACTCTTGAACATGAGCAATCATGTCGCCGAGCTGGTCGAGCGGATAGCGAAGCAGCATGAACAGAGAAATGGCAGTGAAGGCAACTGACGGATACAGCGGCTTCTTCTCAACAACGGTATAGATGAGGAAGGAGAAGAAGGTGATCAGAATTGGTACCGTGTTCCATACCGCAACAGCCGCGGCCCAAATCATAAATCGCCACCGCAACGCCTTGAGCTCGGCGCGGCGTTTCTCGTCGACGATGTTGGCGAACCGGTGTTCCCAAGCAAAGTACTTGATGATTCTGATGTTTTGCAGGATTTCGTTGGTCGTGTGAATACGCTTGTCCGTAGCAGCCATAATCCTCTTCTGGCTCGAGTTGAAGCCTCTCCCAAAGGCAATGTTGACAGGGAGCAGCAGAGCCATGACCACAAACCCAGGGATGGCGCTCAAGCCCATGACCTGGTAAAGCAAGACGACAGAAACGATGAGCTGAGTCGGGGCTGCCGCAACGAGGAAGTGCATGTATGACGTAATCTCGGACACCTTGAAGCTGTCGACGGACATCAGGTTGATGATAGTGCCCAGGTTGGCCTGCTCGTCCGAATCATCCGCCTTGTCCTTGCCCGGGCTCGCATCCGTATCGTTGTTCGCAGCTGACCCGCTATCCTTTGACGCTTTTCCGAGCCCCAGAAGCCG